TCTCCCACCCACCCCCACTGCCGGGGGGACAGAGCCAGCCTCAGGCTCTCGGGCAGGAGAGGCAGACAGGGCAGAGTCCTGGACTGAGGCTGGGCGGAGGGGGCCCAGGGACATCCTCGGGGGGGTTGCTCCCCACCCCTGCCTGCACCTCACCCTCCTGAAATGCCCCAGGCAGGCAGGCAGGTCGCAGCCAGCCGCCTCTCGCAGCCCCCCATCTCAGACTCAGAGCCTGTCCCAGGCACTTCCCGGAGCCACAGACCCCCAGATCACGTCACCACTTCCTCCTGGCCATTGGGAACTGCTCTGGGACCTGGGGAGGCCAGCCCCGCCCCCATAGCTCCAGGCAGCTGCAGATCTGTTCACTCGCTGTGGCCCTGGGGATCCTGTGTGTACCTGGGATGGGGCCAGCTCTTTGGAGAGAACCAGTACTGGCATCTCAGAGCTGCGCTGGGCTGCAAGACCCCTGTGGGACTCTGAGCCTCCCAGCCCCATGGTGGGCAGCCATGAGACCCCACAGGCATCAGAGGTTAAATGTGCACTGCAGGGTGTGGGGTATGGCTCCAGTCCCAGGCTGGGGTGGAGGGCCTGGCTGTCAACTCGCTGGGACCCAGAGCCCCGGTATTCCCCATTGCATAGATTGGGGAAGGAAAGGGTCATTTGCAGGGCCGGCCAGAGGCTTTGTGACCTTCTGGACCTGGGGCTGCTGGGAGGACGGGGCCATGGGGAGGCAGACGGAAGTGCCTTCCTGGGGCCTTCAGCCTGGCTCTTCCCCACCTGGCCCTGGCCTCTCTGGCACATACCTCTGGGGGCCCTGCCCTGGTGTCCATCCTGGCTCCAGCCACAGACTGCAGGCCTTCGGCTCACCCAGGCAGGCTCCAGCGCTGCCTCTGTCCCACAGCCACCTGCCTTCTCTTGGGAGCCTGCTGCTTCCTCTTTCAGCCACTTCCTCTTTGTCCTGAGCACCCCTCCCACCCCAGGACGCACAGCTGGAGCTGGGTGGCCGAGCTAGAGGGTGGGGCTGAGAACTTTCACCTTGTATTTGTCTGATTCTACTGTTTATAACAAAATACCTGAAACTGGGTGATTTATAATAAAACGAAATTTTCTGGCTGGGAGGTCCAAAGTTCAGGGGACACATCCTGTGAGGGTCTTGGCGGTGGCAACAGTGAAGGCAGGTATCACGTTGCAGAAATGGCGGAGCAGAGAGAGCTGAGGGACTAACCTTCTCACGCACTCTCTTTTTAAAGCCCAAAGAACCGCGCCCCTGACCACCGTTGTTAATCCATTCACTCCTGCATGGTCCTACAATCTAATCACCTCCCCAAGGCCTCAGCTTTCAATCACCATCATAGTATTTACCACCCTCAGCAGTTACAGTGAGGATTAAGCTTTAGGGGTACATTCAACCCAAGGCACACCTCCAGTGAAAATCTATCCCTCCCCCGCCCTTCTAGAACTGGAGGTGCCCCGCAGTCACAGGCCTGACTGCAAAGCCACAGAGACCCAAGGAACAGTAGCCTAAGCAAGACTGTTTATTTCTCTCACACACTAACCTGGTCCTGGGGCCAGTGGTGTAGAGACAGCATCAGGAGCCAGGTGCCTCCATCTCTCAGCTCCCAGTCCCTAGGATCCTAGCTTCATGGTCCCACAATGGCTGCAGGAGCTCAGCCATTGCCTCTATATTCCCAGCAGAGAGTAAGGGACATCCCAGAGGAGATGTCCTGGAAGTCCCACGGGGCACTTCCACTTATCTATGATCTAGAAGCGATCTAGAACTTGATCTAGAACTTAGTGCAATGGCTTCCCCTAGCTGCAAGGGAGGCTGGAAGCAGAGGCAGTGAGGACCTCCATGCTGGAGAAAGTAGGTGGGGCCACAGCTGGCCTGTTGGGGAGGTAGGCCTGGTTAGAGGTTCCCAGCAAGGGGCTCTGCCTTACCCCTCACCCCTCCAACTGGGGTCCCCTGAATACAGGACCCTGTTGCTCCTCAGACTGGGACCTTGAGCACCGCCCCCCCTCTTTGAATGAGGTCTGGGTATCTGCTGCAGTTCCTCCTTGGATGCGTCGCTCAGGGTGGAGGCTGTGGCATCCACTGTCCAGGGTGCTGACCTCAGGGTGCCCCCACCGCCCCCCCTCTTTGAATGAGGTCTGGGTATCTGCTGCAGTTCCTCCTTGGATGCGTCACTCAGGGTGGAGGCTGTGGCATCCACTGTCCAGGGTGCTGACCTCAGGGTGCCCACAGGGAAAGGAAGCCACTTGGGTGGGTAGCATTCCCCAAGGACAGGGCTTGACCACAGCGTCCTGGGCCAGTCTGAGTGGCCAGGAAGTGAATAGAGAGGAGCCCCTGCCCCAGTCCTTTCGCCTTCCCACTGCCCCACTTGGCCTTAGTGTGGGCCTCATTTCCAGGCCCCAGCCTGAGTGCAGCTGTACCCCAGGCTCCTGCCCCGAGTTCCCGGGTGAGGGGTGCATGTTGAGGGGCAGCCTGTGGGCCTGGCTGGGTGGAACGTGCACAAGGCCGGGGCACGAATACAAAGAGCCCACCTTCCCCTGACTCAAGTGAAAGGTGGTTACACAGAAAGTCTCTCTTCTCCTGCCTCGACAACTATGTCGCATGAGGTCTGGGAGGCTGGGGCGATGGGGGACCCCTGGCTCCTTGGCATTCTCATGGAAGAATTGGTGCAGCAGCCCCAGCCCCAGCCCCAGCCCCAGCCGGCCGTGTGCCCACCCTGACGCCCCCGCACTGTGAGGGGCCTCCCAAGTCCACATCCCTCATCCAGCCCATGGCTTTGAACTCACCCACAGCCCCAGCAAACCGCCTCACCTGCCTCTGGCCAGCCCCCGGGCTGCAAGTGGGCACAGGTCTGGTGGCTCCAACTTGAGAGAATGGATCCAGGCTTGAGGGCATCTGAGCAGGGAGTCTGGGACCTTGGGGTCTGGAAGGGACTCATGGCCTTGGTGGGCATGCCCTCTTGACCCCTGAAAATGCTCATCCAGTGAGAAGGGCTGAGGCTGGAGGGGACTGGGGCCCAGCGTGGGCTGCTAGGTGGCTGTCAGGCTGGCGGTGCAGCCAGGACCTGCCTGAGGCAGCTCCCTTCCAGCCCTCTCCCCACTCAGGCCTTGCCCTGAGGCTTGGGGCCCTCGGTGGCCAGGCAGTGGGAGGAGAGGGACTTTGGAGATTTCCCATAAAGCAAATATGTTTTTCTTTAATTTCCTTTCTTTCAAAAATTGACTGTGTGGGCAAAAAGGACTCACAACTTGTCAGCAGGGCTATGGCATTTTTCACCCTGAACGAGTGCAGGCGGTCACTGTCACCTACAGGAGCCACTCACACCCACAGTAGGCACTTCAGAAATAACCACGACCTATGATGGGGCTACATCCCTATAAGCCCACCCTAAGTTAAAAATATCATAAATTAAAAATGCATTTAAGGTTCTTGAGCCACTGTCTCTCACTCGAGCCTGCTCCATCCTCTCCAGAGCGTAATCTCGCTTTGCTAACTTGCTTTGTTTTAAAACTGTTTTTAAAACTGTCCTTTGTCTTTCGCCTCTGGTGTGTCTCATCTGATTCTTTGCT